ATTTACTCCAGTAATATAATTATTACCACAAGTCAGATTATCCTCCAGAAAAAAAAATTATTCCAATGTAATTGGAATATTAAGTGTCACGTTCTTTTCAGATGACTATAAAGCTGGACTAAGCAACCCACACGCGTGTCCCAAAGATGCCACAAGGCATGTCACAGCCCCACAAACAGCAGGAAAGCACACTCAGTGTCCAGGGGGTATACCACTGCTGTAATTTGTCTTTTAAAAAAATCTCTTACTCTCATCATTCTGCAATTGTTTTTAATAGCCCAGAGTAAAAAAAAAAACCACTGAACTTTAAAAAAGTTTTTTAAATAAAAGTCACAGTTACAACAAAATACTGTTGACACAGTACTAGATTAAATAAAATCCATAAAATTACTTCTATTACTAGGCTTCTATGATCTATACTTACACATTCTTAAAAAACATCAAATTATAAAATTTTTCCCATATTTTCTTCCTCTGCACATACTGATAAACATACTCCGCTGAAGCTCACAATTCACCTATGCCAGTCAAAACATCCATTCTGCCAGGGAACCATTCATGGTACAAGCCTCTCACTCCCACCCGAGACAACCCACAAGGTTACCGAGCAGCAAACAGCAACTGTCCCAACAAGCCGGGGAAAGGCTCTCCTGCAAAGACCGCAGCGTGGACCGAGGGCACAACAGTCAGGAGTGGGGCAGGGGCTGGCCAAAAGGGCAGAAACGAAATGACACTTGGCATGAACTACCGTGTCATCCTTATCCTCCCCAAAATACAACATTTCTGTGCTTGTTAGGGTGTTTTGTCTCTTTGGCCTTGGCTTCATTTTATAATACACTTAGCCTTCTGGTAACTGTTTCCTTTTCAATTTCTTTAGATATAAGGAGCCATTTTTTAATTTGAGGAGCCAAAGGATCTGAAAGATTCTGGTCATTTCTCACTGGCAAAGTGAGAAAAGGCTGTATTTCTGGTTTGGTCAGATCAGACTTAATTCTGGAAGCACTATATTTTATACTTCCTGGACCTTAGTCTCCTGATCTATAAGAGAGAAACAGCGTATCTCAGGCTGAAACATAATCCCACACTACAGACAGCAGCTTAACATCTATTCTTTACAATTCAGGTATGTTTATTACACAATAGCATGATTATCTAAATAAGTCAATTATTATAATATTTACTACTTGAATGAAATTATATAAAGGTACAATATTTGATTAAAGTTATAATTCTGAAATTAAATAAGCTTAAATGTTAAAGCAACTTCAATAAAGTTAGAAGAATAAAGATAGATGCAGTTCCCATCTAAAAATTACTGATACCAAAGTATACAGTATTACTTTAAAGAATCCTGTAGAATAATATGAAATTCTTTGATATAAGAACAAAGCTCTGAATAATATGAAATTCTTTGATATAAGAACAAAATACTTCTGAGTCGATCACTGAAATTCACTATTTGTGATGAACGAGCAGAAAGAGAAATCAGGAAAACAATTCCATTCACAAGTGCATCAAAAAGAATAAAATACCTAGGAATAAACCTAACCAAGGAAGTGAAAGACCTATACCCTGAAAACTACAGGACACTCTTAAGAGAAATTCAAGAGGACACTAACAAATGGAAACTCATCCCATGCTCCTGGCTGGGAAGAATTAATATCGTCAAAATGATCATCCTTTGAATTTGGTTCATTCATATGCAGTGTAATATTGGTATGAAAATATAAATCACACTGCCATTTTTGTCTTTGATTATTGGATATTTGGTAAACATTCATTTATTTTCAAGAAGATCTTTAATTGGAGTTAACAGTACAGTAAATTTTTGTAAAACTTCCATGACTCAACCAAAGAGCATTGGCAAAGTAGTCATGACATCATTAAATTCACTATTTAATAAATTCTTCTATTTCCTTCAATATGTCTATTAACTTGTAATGATTCATTGTATTTGCATGTACACAGTAAATGATTTAACAACTGTATCCTGGACAGATTTCATGGAGTATGCTTCAGAAGAGTGAGCATAAATATTTATAAGGTGTATCATACAGTGAAACAAAGATATTAAGGAAACATCTGTTCCTTTTTAAAAATTATAATGATCTGGTTTTATTACCTAACGTTGTTGGAAAACTTGTTAAAAACTGATTTTTTAACAGCTAGCCAAAATTCTTCTTTGACTGTAAAATACTGAAAAATACCTATGGCATGGATTTAATGTTTTAGACCATAAGTGGACAATATTTCTTTGTAAATTAAGAAGCCCTTAGAGTCAAAACATACCCAGAGTACTAAGTGGGCAGTGTCATTTATATCTTGTAACTCATTTCATCTAAAAAAAAAAAAAAAATGGTCGTCCTGCTTAAAGCAATCTACAGATCAAATTCAATTCAATCCCCTATCAAAATACCTACAGCATTCTTCAGTGAACTAGAGCAAATAGTTCTAAAATTCGCATGCAACCACAAAAGACTCCAAATAGCCAAAGCAATACTGAGAAGGAAGAATAAAGCTGGGGGAATTATGCTCCCCAACTTCAAGCTCTACTACAAAGCCATAGTAATCAAGACAATTTGGTACTGGCACAAGAACAGACCCATAGACCAATGGAATAGACTAGAGAGTCCAGAATAAACCCAAGCATATATGGTCAATTATTATATGATAAAGGAGCCATGGATATACAATGGGGAAATAACAGCCTCTTCAACAGCTGGTGTTGGCAAAACTGGACAGCTACATGCAAGAGAATGAAACTGGGTAAGTGTCTAACCCCTTACACAAAAGTAAACTCAACATGGATCAAAGACCTGAATGTAAGTCATGAAACCATAAAACTCTTAGAAAAAAATACAGGCAAAAATCTCTTGGACATAAACATGAGCAACTTCTTCATGAACATATCTCCCCAGGAAAGGGAAACAAAAGCAAAAATGAACAAGTGGGACTATATCAAACTAAAAAGCTTCTGTACAGCAAAGGACACCATCAGTAGAACAAAAAGACATCCTACAGTATGGGAGAATATATTCATAAATGACATATCCGATAAAGGGTTGACATCCAAAATATATAAAGAGCTCACATACTTCAACAAACAAACAAAAAGCAAATAATCCAATAAAAAAATGGGCACAGGATCTGAACAGACACTTCTCCAAAGAAGAAATTCAGATGGCCAACGGACACATGAGAAGATGCTCCACATCGCTAGTCATCAGAGAAGTGCAAATTAGAACCACAATGAGATATCACCTCACACCAGTAAGGATAGCTGCCATCCAAAAGACAAACAACAAATGTTGGAGAGGATGTGGAGAAAGGAGAACCTTCCTACACTGATGGTGGGAATGTAAACTAGTTCAACCACTGTGGAAAACAGCATGGAGGTTCCTCAAAAAACTGAAAATAGAAATACCATTTGACCCAGGAATTCCACTCTTAGGAATTTACCCTAAGAATGCAGCAGCCCAGTTTGAAAAAGACATATACACCCCTATGTTTATCGCAGCACTATTTACAATAGCCAAGAAATGGAAGCAACCTAAGTGTCCATCAGTAGATGAATGGATAAAGAAGAGGTGGCACATCTACACAATGGAATATTATTCAGCCATAAGAAGAAAACAAATCCTACCATTTGCAGCAATATGGATGGAGCTAGAGGGTATTATGCTCAGTGAAATAAGCCAGGCCGAGAAAGACAAGTATCACATGATTTCACTCATCTGTGGAGTATAACAACAAAGTAAAAACTGAAGGAACAAAACAGCAGCAGACTCACTGAACCCAAAAATGGACTAACAGTTACCAAAGGGAAAGGGACTGGGGAGGATGGGGAGGATGGGTGGGAAGGGAGGGAGGGATAAGGGGGAAAACAGGGTATTATGATTAGCACACATAATGTAGGGGGATGGGACATGGGGAAGTCAGTATATATACAGAGAAGACAAGTAAGGATTCTATAGCAACTTACTATGCTGATGGACAGTGACTGTAATGGGGTATGTGGGGGGGACTTAATAATAAGGGGAGTTTAGTAACCATAATGTTGCTCAAGTAAAAAAATAAAAAATTCACTGATTGTAATAGAAGAAATCAGGTATATTTCTTTCTATTTCTCAGTATTTCATACTTAAAGTACCTTCCATTTCATACCTACTCTTGAATTATGATCCTTAAATACAGTCAGCTATTAATAATCTGATCTTGGTGGTGGGTTTCCACTATTAAAAAAAAAAACTTTGTAAGAGAAGAGTATAGGGTAGAAATCACTTAGGTGAAATCAAAAGAAAATTAACCCAAACTATATCATTTCTCTGTTAAACCATGTAATTACTCTTTTCTTCATTGGCTCTTCATCTGAAGCCAAAAAGGACCAGTAATTAAAATTTGAACTTTAACATCTTTGATATACATACTTGGTTTCAGCTGAAAATGAAGAGCATTCTCAAATAACAAAGATCCTAAGCACAACTTAAGACAGTCAGATTTGGCACCTACTGTCAAAGAAACACCTCTTTAAACATTAAAGATCTCAGCATGAGAGAAACGAAGTGGGCTATTAGAGTCACTAAGACAGCAGTTTCTGTAACGCGTAACACTCGGACACATCAGGACTGGTAGCGGGGCTGCACCCTGGTGGCCAGCGTCTCAGAGCAGAGCTGGCCGTGCTCCACTGCCGCTAACTTCAGGTGGGGAAGGACGGTGACTTCACTGAGCGCCGCTGGTCTAGGGCACCTTCCACCACTGGGAAATTCACAGGATGCTCTGGAGTCCTGACCTCCTGCACCACACAAGGCACGGAGAGCTTGTACTTCCCCCTCAAATTACCTGTCTATTTTTTTGGAGAGCAAGGTACAGGCTTTTATTTAGAGATAAAGTGAGAGGACAGAGCTCCCGGCTCACGCTAGGAGGGGACAAGAGAGTCCCTACCTGTCTTTTTTTAATTAAAGAATTTTTTATCCTGCTCTAAACATGTAATATATACGTACCATTTAGTCGTCTCTGGAGTGCTTCTTCTTCTAGGGTAATAATATAAATTTGTTCATCCAGGTCTTCAAGAATCTAAATTTGAAGATCAAACTATTTAATAATACAACATTACAAAACTAGTGCTTATGAGAATATTTAGGCTATTTGGCCTATAATTTTTAAAACCTTTTCAAATTACTAGGAATCTGAAATAAAAATGCTCAAATATTTTATTTGCAAATTAAGTAAAAATATTTTAGAATATAACTAAACACATCAAAAATTGATTATCACACAATCTATATACATTTAAATGGGATAGTTTTTAAGTTTAAAGGACTAAGGAACCCTAGAGTTTTCTCACTGGCAAATACATGAAAGAATTCTAAACATCCAAAAAGCTGAAAATAGTAATACCTCTTTATGCTCAAGTCAGTATTTTGGAACCAAAAGAAACAGATCACCCAGTTCAACACTGGCTTCTCATTTATATTTACCTACGTAACGTTTAAAACAAGAAATTCATAAACTCAATTACTACCATGCAATATTTTCCATTTATGTCATCTTTATAAAGATTTTCTCTAAATATTGAACACTGGTATTATAAAAATCACCCTATAGGCAGGACCCTAGAGGAATACGTGCTTCTATATACACCACTCACTACCATGCCGCAAAATGCTAGAAAAAAACAATCACCAAAAAACCATTAACCAATAACCAATTATTCGGGATATTATCTGCATGGTCTTCAAAACTGATAAGATCTAAAATTCGTTTCACTCTAGCTGTGTTAACAGAGCTGTCCTTCCTGAGATGACCCTAAGTATCTTGCTAGCTCTGGAGAAACTCTGAAAGTAGTCCAGAGCTGATATCAATATTCTGTATCATTCAAAGCCAAACTACTTATTACCAGCAAAACTGCAAATTGTGAAGAGCTGATGGACAACACGAGAGGACAGACACCCTATATATGTATACCTTTCAGCTCCTGGGTGAGCTCTTTTCAGAAAAAGGAGTCTCAAACAGTACAATCCCTATTAGGTATCAAATTTGCAGAATTTATATAAAATTAACTTAAAGCAATCCAATCACTTCCAGTATTTCAATAAAAATTGATAATCTCCTATGGCCTAGTGCTGATGACAAAATAAAATAATAAAATGAATAAATAACAATAATAAATAAATATAAGAAAAGATGACTACCCTGTGAGTGAAGATGAGTGGAAGGAGAGGACCTGAGCAGGCACCAGTAAGGGCCTCCCTAAGGAGGTGACATCTGAGTCCTGAACGAGAAGAATGGGGTGACCTGAAGGCACCGACTGGCACAGTGCACTGGGAGCTAGAAACCCAAGACGGACAGACCCTACACATGAGAGGCAGGACTGTACCTTTGTCTCCTTCCCATCGAGGTTCCCACTACTTTCCACTGTGTGCATTGCTATTGACAGCATTTAATTTTCTGAAAGACTAGCACATACAAAAGGGTTGCTCTGGCTGTGCAAACTGCCTAGTAGTGGCCAACCACTACATCGAAGTCCTGGTGGTGAATGACAGTGAGTGGTACACAGTTATCTGTGCTAAGTGCACACATGCATGACCCCCTTGGTCCTACAATACCTTGAAAGCAGACTCTTATCACCCCATCTTGTAAGACTCTAAGAAACAAAGGTTTGGCAAAAAAAAAAATTACATGCCTCTGAAGCCTAATTCTCTTAACCGCTCTGGGCTCACAGAGACCTAAATATCAGTCGGACAGAGTCCCTGACCTCAAAAAGTACCTATTCTAGTGTCAAGGACAGAAGTGACGAATTCAAAAAAATCATTACAGGATTGAAATAGAGGTCACAACTGAAGCTGAAATAAAATGTTTCAAAAGTTCAAAGGAAGGTATGTGGTGGGGACTTGATAATAGGGGGAGTCTAGTAACCATAATGTTGCTCATGTAACTGTACATTAATGATAACAAAAATAAATAAATAAAAGTTCAGAGGAAGGAAGATTCCCAACTTCCAGTTGGGGAGAAAAAACTTTGGTAAGTGTTTCTGAGGGTAGCAGCATCTTACCTGATAGGTTAATTCACGAAAAGGCAATTGATCAGAGGAAACTACAAGCAAAATGAACAGGTGTAGAGGACTAGAGCACACTCAGCAATAAAGCGGTTCAATTACTCCGGAGTCCATAGCAGGTGAGAACGGGTCCAGCACCCAGGCTCTGAATCCACCCTCTGGGTTCAAATCCCACCCCATCCTCACAGATGGGTGAACTTGGACAAGCAACTTAATCTCCCTGAATTGCAGATAATTCAGCCATAAAATAAGAATGCCACTACCTAACTTATGGGTTTATCATGAGAATTAGTTGAAATTATGTGTGTAAAATGTAGTACTCATCATAAGCATACAGCCTATACTCAATTACTCAATAAATAACCATTATTATTGACATATTATTGAACAAAAAAAGAGGCAACAATAATTAAAGTATTGAGATATTGTTAATAACACACAAGTTTTGGGAAAAAAATCAGCTTTTGGAGAGGAGATACTTAAGTAGTTTGGGCTTCTATGTTGAGTTTTCAGCTCCATGGAGTATTCAATTATTGCACTAAAATGTCCTGTAGTTTGTTTTCCTTGCCTGTTTCTCACTAGAATTGGACATTTGTAAGTGGCAGAGGTGGTTAGGAAAACACAGAGAGCAACTTCAGACCAAGGACAGAACTTAAATCATTTGCCTATATTTGGGGGGCAGGAAATAGAAGTGGAAAAAGACCAAAAAAACAGAGTATCAGGAAGAAACTAAATTAATGAAGTGTCACAAAACTACTTTAATAAGGAAGTGAATTTCAAGATCTGACAGCATGTGTATTGTATCTGAGTGTGTGTGTACATTTATGTAACAAGTAAAATATCCAATTTTCTTTTAAAAGAAGATATGAAGAGATTGTCATTTATGAAAAATAAGCATTTGCTAACAGAGTATCTGATATATTTCCTCAATTTTTTCCCTTAATGACACACTCTAATAGGGAAAACAAACATGCCCATAATAATTTAATAAGCAGTACTAGCAAAATGCAAACAAAGGGGAATATAAGAAATGCAGAGGAAGAAGCTAAACTAGTTTAATTTAAAGACCCTGGTGAGGCTGGGTTCAAAGGGAGGCAATGCCTGCAGCCGATACGAGAGCAAACACTCAGGAGCCGTCCAGTGGCCGCGGCAGGAGAAGGCCCTGGACAGGCCAGCGGGCTGCGTCGGGGGATGAATTCAGTTTGGGACAGGCTGTGAAAGGCGTTGGAATGTGTGAGTGGTGTGGACTTGAGTTCGTAGGCAATGAGGATCTGTGAAAATAATATAAGTGGCAAATTCCCTAGATGTAGCTTAGAATTCTTTTCATATGATTAAATATTTGACAGAACAGCTAGAGGCCAAAGAAACTTAGGAAAAATATCACTAGAATTAACTACCAATTGAAAACCATTTAAAAATGAATATAATTTTTTGAGTATTTCTGAGATTAAAGGGAAAAGTATAATTTGGTTAATCAAGATATAATATGCAAACAAATTTTCAGAAACATAATTGCTCTGTAAATCGAAGGATGTATGTGGTAAATTTTGAAACATAATAGAGTAACTGATATAAGGTAATAGATACCTAAAACACCTGAAAATATCTATAAATTTTGCCCTAAAATTTGCTAGAGGAATTTTTACCTGGGTGTTTATAATTAGTATTTTAAGAGCAAAAACAGTTTCCAGATGAAAAAGATTAAAATGAAAACAATAATTTTGGTCATAAACCCAAATGCTAGAATGCTAGTTCGCAGACTAAAAGATATTCAAATGCAAGTGCATTTACTTCACAAGCAGAATGGCCCCAACGGCACTTACTGTGGGCTTCACCAGCAGCTGGCCCATCACGGTGAACATGCGGGACAGGCCCACGGGCGTACACACTGCAGGGAAGAGGCCGACAGAGAACGCTTACCGCACGGTTTAGCAGACAGCCGCTAATCCCAAAGAAAGCAAACTCAAAGACAACTGTTTTAGAAAAATTCTGGTCTTAAATTTAGGTTCTCTCAGTGTTTATCAGAGGGCCCTTCGACATCCCAATAAAGAAGCGAGAGGGGACGGCAGGCAGAGGAATGGAGGTACGTGAAGACTACCTAAGGCTTAGGATATGTGGGACTCCAGCAGCTACATAGTAATACATATTTTCACTTACAAGAAATTAAAGAAAACCAAGTAAAGAACAGATTAAATTTCAAGTACAGTGGAATTAAGACCAGACAATAATATCTAAAAGTGACAACCATAAAATTAAATCCTTTACCTACATTTATCTGCTTATACTACCCCTGATATATGTTGTGATCTCTCAAGTAAAGCTAAACAAATTTTGAAATAAAAACTACAGATTCACCGAACAGAACTCCACCATTGCATCCAAGAGTAGACTCCAGAGTTGTGAGGTGAACATGTATGTATATGTCTCTCAACCCTGTGGAGGCTTTCCTTAGAGAACACAAGTATCTTATTATTTCAAGGTTTCAGTTTATCAATATTTATTTTGAACATAAAAAATACATTACAGGCCAACCTTAAAAAAATCCCCAACCTAGTAAGGAATCTCGTTGGCAAACTTCCCTAAAGTTTTCTGTAACACAGTGCAACTCTAGTTTCCTACCAATATTAAGTCAGAAATATACTTACAGAGAAGTAACAAACAGCCCATCAATGATATACAGGAATATAAATAGGGCAGGTAGAACTCCCAGAGATCTATAAAAAATGTAAATATATTAGTGAATCCAAAATAGTGTACATTAAGATATAGACTGACTATAAACTAGTGAATGTTAAACATTGTAATTGCCATTCAAGTCTGCTAAACCATGTGATTTCTAAATTTTACGATAAAAAGATCTAAAATAGAAGAACAGGAAATAACCTTTTTGTAAAACCTGTTTGGAGGGAGAAAAAAAGGCTCCATGGAATTTTAAGAACAGAAACCAATTAACAGAAAAAATCTGAAAAGCTGCTTACTCATTCTGCATATAGGGAACATATGACATGCATTTCTTAAACATGCTGAAGACTCCTTAATTAACAACAAGGATCAACTACACAAAGAAGTATCAAAATGTCTCAGAAAGTGAATGTCCTTTAGTGTCCCAAACTTAATCCCGTTAGACAAGCTGGCTTAAGCAGGTCAGTGGTACCATACAGAGACTCCATGCTTGCCGCGTCGTTGTCGACCAGCGCTGAGGCGACCCACACCATCCCCAGAATCAGAGATGCCAGGAGGACAAGCATGACCAGAGTTTCCAAAATTCGGGCTCGGATTCCCTGAAAAATATAATAGGGATAAATTTTCAATAGTGCATTTCACCTCATGAATAATTACGTTTCTGTCTATATGACAGCATAAAAATTCTTTGGAAAGGAGGAAACTCATATTTACTAGCAGGACAACAACATTAAATGCTTACAGTCTGTAATGTTCAGACTATTTTCAAAATTATGTAAAATACCATTTTGAACAAAGTACCAAAAGCATTCTTTATAAAAACATTTTGCAGAACCATTTTAAATTACTTTCCACCAACGAAGGAGATCATCACATTTATCTGTGATTCTGATCAAGGGAACAGAGGCTAACTGAAACCTACAGCCGAAGGGCATGGTGAACAGCCGGCTTGGGGAAGCACCACGCGCCGGCTCCCTGGGGACAGCGGTGTCGAGGCAGCTCCCGCTGCCTCCAGAGTCGCCGGTGCGCACCCGCAGAACTCCAAGGCAGCCCCACCTGAGCCTGTACCAGTTATATGCCACCCTTTCTCCAAGTTAGGTACAACCTTCATTAACCCACGAGGTTGGAATATAATAAAGAATCATTATGCTGAGTTTTGTTTTAAATATAAAACAAATTCTGACTTCAGGCCAGATTTTTAAACTCGACACCTACTGAACAAGGTAAAAAGAAAAAACCTTATTTATAAGTTACCAACCAATTGAATCTGCACCTAAATGACAAATCAATGAGTTAACTGATGAACTGACTTTATACTGTGATGCACTTAGTCTACCTCTAACAACAAAATTGTTATTTCCATGTTTCAGTAAATCGTGTAATTTTTCTTCCACATTAAAACAAAGATGAGTTATAAAGATCCAAGACATACACTTATTTCACTTTCACCCTGTTATCTGTCAATTTCCAAATTAAAGAGAGAGGCTGCGCTTAAGTCAGAGCACCACAGTCCCTGATTCAAATGAGGAGAGAGGACATCCTGAAATCACAGCAGAAGAGCCTGCAGCCCCCAGGAGCACTCGGAGTCGAAGGGTCTTTTCCTGAGGGCCCAGTCTTTCCATGGGGCTGCCCGAGCAGATGAGAGGTGCACAGGAAATGGGCGCAGCTCACAGCAAGGGAGGCTGTACTCTACTTAACAGAAGATGTGACTCAAGTGAGATAAAACATCAACAGTCCCAAAACACACTAGTAAAATAACACCTAGTTCAGAAAAACTCTCCAAACCTGCACTTCACAACTTTGAAAACATTTTGGATACCAAAACATGACCACCACCTTTTAATGGTGATTTATTTTCTTTTCCTTCTAAGTAATAATTTTTTTTCCTAAGCAAGGTTCTTTTTATTACATATTAAATATTATGTGAAAAGCCTTTAAACAGTACAGATAGAAAGAGTAAGTGCTTTGGGGTGTATGTGTTACACCTTCTCAGCTTTGTCTCCTCCTGCCTCCGACCAGGCCACAGAACATAAGGGCTCCCAAAGCACATAACACATGTGTTGTAAGTGTTATGATATATGAGTTAAATAGTGTAACCATGTTATATCAACTCAACAGGAGTGCTCCTTGGAACCATTTGAGACCCACTGTCCAAAAACCTGTGTTTTAATAATCTCTGCTACAATGATTATATTAAACAATTATAACTATCAATAAATATAATGTGTTGCAATGACAATAAATTTTGGAGACTCAGGCACCATATACTTACACACTTGCGCTGGTATTTTGGTAAGAAATACTTCTTGGCAGTTAAATTCGTTCTTCTTCAAATTTCTCTACATTGGGAGAGTCTGTTCCAGGGTTCCTCCCTCCCATTCCTGTACATCTCACAAGCAGAGGCAGGGGCAGCCTCGTCTGGACTGTCTTTTCAAGGGCATTTGTAGAGCAAGCCCTTGGAGGATAGAGACAGTCTCTCTGAAGGAGAGTAAGTCTGTTTACTGTCCAGTATGAGAAAGATGATGTCCCCCACAGAGCAAAAGGCAGAGAGGCCTGCTTGAACCCATTATAAATAATGTGTTTCCTAAACTTGGGATTTCTCGGCTGTGACATGAGCCCACCTTGAAGGCAGCCTCCACCCGGGTAGGGGTCCCCCTGCAACTAACAGGAGCAGGAAACCTGTGCACTTTCCCTGCTCTGAGTAATGAAGCCATCTGTCTCTGGCCCAAGAGTCTCACATCTGTGACCAGCACCCACAAACCTGGCAGACTGACTTGTCAGCCCCTCACAGAGCTGGACAACTCTGGTGGGAAGCTCAAGGGTGGGAAACTCACGCAGCTTTCTGGAGGAGGGTAAGTGCAATGGGAAGACTCCAGGATCCAGCAGAAAGCACCTTCGCCCGGGTGGCAGGCAGCTGGGGGAAGCAGGGTCCCCAACACCCAGCCGGGCTGGCGTCTATCCAGAGGCTGAGCTGGGGACAGCCCGCCAGTGGCTTGGTGCAGCCCGTCTCCCCTGAGCAGAAGCAGGCAGGGGTGCTGGTGCGACAGTGTAACAGCAAGCCCTGCAAAGCCACCTCAGAGCACTGCCCTACCTCTAAGACTAGTTACAGGGACTTTTTTCTTGCATATTTTTTGCTTCTCTCTGTTTTCCAAATTTTCTAGAATTGGTGGATATGACTTACATGAGAAAAACCAATGTTTTAAATTTTCACCTTTTTTCTAAAAGAACTCCCAAGAGATTGCCACCCACAAAAATAACTGTTTACAAGTATTCAACTTCAGTTTAGGAGGCAGGCAGTGTAGTGAGCTAGTTAAGAGCCCCGACTTCAGCAGCAGACAGCTTGGGTGTCAACCCTGGCTCATCGCTGACCAATTGTATACCACCAGGCAAACTACTAAACCTCACCGTGCCTCAGTTTCCCCCTTTGTAAAATGGGTTTACTAATAACATCCCTACTTCGTGGAATTGGTGTATCAAATGAGTCAATCTACCTAGTGCCTGGTGCTCAGTAAGCACACCAGGAGGGCTAACTGTAATGGCTCAAATTACTGCCTCTCCTTTAAAATCTGCAAAGCTGCAGCGGTGGGGTGGGTGGGTAGGGTGGCATTCATCTCTTGTGTTTCTGAATGAAATTCACACCACCATCTAAGGCCAGCTTATCACCCTCTCCCCATCTCTGGCACCTGCCATCTACAGATCTGTGACAAACAATCCCATCCTTTTTCAGGATGTGAGTACCTGGTCCACAAGTGCTTGTCATACCCCCTGGGAACACACAAGCACCCAGTGAGACCAGTGAACTCACCCTCCACCCTACCACTGCCACGCCCAGGCGCACTGATCTGCTTCCATAATCTCTCAGGCCTGCGTCTAAGGTCCCAAACTGTGAGGCCGCTCCCTCTCCACACGCCCCCTCTTCCTCCCGGCCACTTTCAGTCCTCAGCCTCGCTCCATATCCTCTCCCCGTAACCTCCGCTCCCTTGACCCACCCACCCCTCATCAGTCTTGTTTCCACTTGCCTAAATCCTATGATGAACCATATACTTTAATGACAAGCCAGGATCAATATTCCAGTATTCCTGGCCCCTCTGACTTTCACCAGATTAGTTTAGTTCCACTGGTAGCTTACTCCTTGAATGATCAGCCCTGTGAAAGAAATCTACAAATCATGAGAAACGTTTGCTACCACATTTCAAAGTGAGCCCTCAGTGCTACGTGGAATCCATGCTGCTCTCCGGCTGACCACCAAGCCCCTCAGTGATTCTTAAATGTCTTCCTTTCCCTGATCCTAATCTCATCCCCACTTTCTTGCAACCACAGCTGACCTCTCCTCTCCCTTAGTAACACAGAGCTGGGCGGCCTGCCAGGCCCTGAGCTTCTTCCCCTTCCCCCTCTGCTTCTGTCTGTCCTTATTTCCTTCATTCAATAAAGGAAAATATATTAAATCCCTCTCCTCCCAGGGCTCAGCCTAGAGGCTCAGCCTCCCACATGCTCCATCGGTGTCTCTCAGACCTCAAAATGCTTCAGGGTGACCAAGGGGCTTGCTGACCCCTGCGCCCCAGCCCACGCTGGTGCTCAGCCAGTTCTGATGCTTACCGTCCATGAGACAGACTGCTCAGTTCTGCCCCAGCTCATCTTGCCTCCCATGGGCCAAGCACTCTGAAGTTTCTATCTTTAGTCCAAACCTTACCACTGGGGACCAGATACATGCATCCCAACTGCCCTTTCCCCTAAGATTTCTTGCAGGTACCTGAAACTTAATTCTAATGTCAAGCTCATCATTCCAGCCCCTAAACCTGCTCTTCAGTGCCACATGCCTCAATAAATCCATTCTGGGGTACTTGCCACTTTGGAAACAAGGAATCCTTGTCTCCTCCTTACTTGCTGCACTCCACCCCACCCACTCAACACACCCTGGACCCTGATTCAGCCAAAGACGAAGTCCTTCTGATTTAACTGTGCAGTTACAACTCAAGTCCACCCACTTCTTGTACTGTCACCATGCCCACCTTGCCTGGACAGCTCCCTGGCTTCCCACTAGTGCTCCTACATCCAGACTCATGTCTCTCCCCGACTTGTCGCCTACATGGCAGTAGGAATGCGATCTTTTCAAAATGCAAATCTGATCACGTTACTCTTAGTCATAACTTGCTAACAGATTCATTATTGCAGCAACAAATTATTAAAGTTGTATCTCATTAGCACCATTCTCCAACCAACCAAGGTGGTACACAGGCATATGTAGTTGTACCTTGCTCTTTCTTCTGCTGTTTAGAAAGTGCACAAAGTAATTATAGATGAAAGAAAACAAGTTATTTATGATTTAATATCATGATAGAAATGTTCTATTCTTTGCTATCCAGTAAGATAGCGACTAGCCATATGTGTTCATCAAGAAATTAAAATGTGGCTACTGGGACTGAAGAGGTAGTTTTAGTTTAAATTATTTTACATTTATAGCCACACATGGTTAGTGGTTACCACAGTGGCCAGGGCAGACTACTAACAGTATGCTGCTAACAGATCTCATTCAAGCACTTCTATACTCTTCAGGTAATTTCTGGTCATTTCTATAAATTTAACCTTGATATAAAAAATC